GGCAGGTAGCCAGGTAGGTAGGTAGGTGTTTTTTTTTTCTTAAAAAGTACCAACCTTTCGAGCGTTTAAAAACCTTGATAAAGGACAGTCAAATCGAAATTATAAAAAAAAAAACGATCAAAAATGACTTCACGTCTCCTTTTTTCCTTTTAAAAAAAAAAAATTACGGTAATAAATTTTTCATTTTCCATTTTTATACGTCATTCGAAAAATTTAAAAATAATTAATAAAAAAAAATTCATCGTCATCGATCGATCGGCCATTTTTATTTTTTTTTCCGTTAAAAGGATGTTTGTCGGTTAACCGATTTTTACAAATTAAAACAAATCAAATTATTATTATTATTATTATTATTAATTGTACTTTCGACGATGAAAATTTTTGTTTTTTTTTTTTTTTTTTTTTTTTTCAGACAATCTAATCTAATTTATTTATTTACACTAGATTATTTATAACAATTTATTTAAATTTCTAATCAGTCAAATTTTTAAAAAAAATTATTTTAATTGTACGATGCTCCGCCATTACATAAAAACAAAAAACGTTATCGATATTAATTTCCGTTACTTGCGTTACGCCCATTTGTTATTATTATTATTATTATTACTAAATTCCTTTCCTTTCCTTTCCTTTTTTTAAATTTAAATTCATTATCATTATTATTCCGTTTTAAAATAATCACAATTTATCGTCGTCGCCTTTTTACAAAAAAAAAAATTAATCAAATTCTATTTTTATAAAAAAAATCATTCCCGTAATAAACGTTTATTATTATCATTATCATTATTATTATTATTATCGACAGGAGTAATTAAGTGTAACATTAACGGTTATTTTTAATCGATCGGATTTTGATTATTTTTTAATTTTCAATTTTTTTTACACCTTTTGCGTTAAAAAAAAAAAAAAAAACGTTGGTGGTAACAAAGAGACTCATTTAAAAAAAAAAATAGAAAATCATAGGAAAAATTATTATTATTATTATTATTATTAAACAATAAAATATTAATAATAATAACGATAACGATAATAATAATAATTTTTCGATCTAACTGCGACTTGTAAAGTTTTTAAAAAAAAAAGAAAAACGATTTTTAAATCTTTTCCTTTCCTAAATTTTTTTATTTATTTATTTAAAAATAATAATAATAATAATAATAATAATAATAATAATATGGACAAAGATGATAATAACGAAATCCTAATGGAGAAATAACGATGACGATAATAATAATAATAATAATAACAACAATTTTTTATTTTCCATGATGTTAACCGAAATCGAATTATAATTTAATTTTTCCTTTTTTTTTTCTAATAGAAAAAGGTCAACGAACTCTTTCTTTCATTTTTTTCTTTTTTTTTACTATTTTCGCAATGGCGTAAAAAATTGCGATTATAAATAAATTTTTTTAATTAATACTATCGCTATTATTATTATTATTATTATTATTTTTTATTAATTGTAAACTTATCGAAAGTAGAAAAATAAATAAATAAAAGATTAATACACAAATTTATGTACGAGTAAACAAATATTATCGACGAACAGATAATTTTTGGGAGATCGCGACAAATGACATGACAAAATTTTTATTGTCAAAAATGTATCGATATTGATCGATCGATCGATCGATTGATTGATTGTATCGATCACCGATAGATTTACCAAAGTTTTCAGTTTTCATTTTTTGATAAAACATTGTTGATCATCGAATTAATTTTTAACATGTTTTGATTTTTCCTGTGGAAAATTCAACAACAAAAAACTTTTCACGGCATTTATTAAACTTTATTAATTAATAATTAAATAAATAAATAATCGATTCGAGACTTTTCGTCTCCATTTTGAAAAATTTTTAAATAAAACAAAATAAAAATAAAAAAACT